CGAGTTCACAGCCAGCCTCAGCAACTTAGCAAGACCCTAAGCAACTCAATGAGACCCTGTCTCTAAATAAAATACAAAAAAGGCCTGGGAATGTGGCTCAGTGAGTGTCCCTGGGTTCAATCCCCAGTACTAAAAAAAAAAAAAAAAAAAATTTATTGAGTTAAAAGAATCAGCATCAAAAAGTATTCACTAACTTAGATTTCTAGACTCAAGTTCAAGCACGAAGTGTTCCAATAGCTCCAACCCCACCACTCCACCAAGCAGCCCAGACAGCCACATATATGGGATTACAGATATATGGTGGCCCACATCCACCTAGGCCAGCGCTAAGGACGCAGCACCCAATAGCCATGCACAGGCCAAGAAGGTGAGGCCTGCAGGGAAAACTAGATGTGGGTGGCAGAAGAGGACCAGCAAGAGCAGAGCAAAGGCTACCAGCCATACCTGCAGAGCATTTTTAAAAGTTGCTAAAAAGAAAATTAAAAAGGGCTGGGAGTGTAGCTCAGGGCTAGAGCACCTGCCTCACATGCACAAGGCCCCAGCTCCATTCCCAGCACCACCAAAAAAAAAAAAAAAAAAAACCACATACATGTGGCCAATGTGGCCCAGACCACATGTGGCCCCCAGCCAGCACCTGGACTCTCCTCTACCAGGCCTTTCTGGAAAACATGCGTGCAAGAGTTCACAGGAGAGCAGAGCCCAGCACAGAGCACAGTGTCAGGTAGGGCCAGCTAGTGCTTAGCTCTCCTCAGCAATGCAGCAAACTCACAMGCTTGAGGATGTGTCAGGAGCCAAAACTTCTCTTCCAAATATTTACACTGATCTACAAATGCACCAACCTGTCCAAGTCGTGTGAAAAATCTGTACACCACTGATGGCTTCCCATGGACTGAATCTCCAACACTGTCCCCTTCAGACATTCTGTAACTAGAAAAACACAAAATACTATTAAATCAAATAAAAAGCACTCAAAGATTTGAAAATTTGTTGACCAATCTGTTAAGGTTTTCCCATACTCAGTATTTCATCCAAACCATTTCTTTGTGTTTTTACACTGAATTATTCGGGACAAAGAAACAAGCAGGTGACGAGCTCTGGTGGAGGAAAGGACAGAGCAAGCTGATGTGCTGAGCAGCACTGAAGAACTGTTTTCTACTGCCAGCACCACAATCTCTCTCCCCAACCCTTCTCTCTCCAGGAGTGCTGTCCACCCTAACCTGTTGAGCTTGGAGTCTCCTGGTGAGTCCACAGGAAGTACCCTCCAGGTACTTCTTCCTCTAGGATCCCCAGCCTCCCGCAAGCACCCTGTCTTCTCTATGGCCTGTCCTGGGTTTATCCTCCATCAACTCAAAGATGTCATCCAGGACTCGAAGGCAGCCCATCTATCTGTGTCCCAGTTTCTTATCTGAAACCTGGAAGTAATCCTATCTTCTTATGACTCCTTCAACATGCTGTTGTGATCCCAGGCAGAATTCACCTGTTGAGAGCCCAGGTGCCAAATCCCAGGTCCTCACATTGTCCCACTTAATTCCCACATGGCTAAGAGAAGGGACATCTTTATCCACATTTCACAAAGAAGTCCAAGGTCATGCCACAACTCTGCTCCTGAGCAGGCCTAGAGCCCAGCCTTACACCTGGTTCCTGAGCATGGACTCAGAGGTCCACCACTCTTCAAGAGACACTGCTAAATAACTGGGACCCTCCCACTTTAAAGACAAGGCACTTGTGGGCCCTAAGATAGGGAAGGCAGGGCTCATCCCCCACCCAAATCTGTGGGTGACAAACTGCCCAAACTCCCTCTGCAACTTTCATGACAGTGAAGAGGAGAAACAGACTCCACTGTCAGGCTTAAGTTCCACTTATGTTGAGCAGAAAAGGTCCTCAGCAGACCCCCTTAGCCACTTAGCCAGCCCGTTTCCCATCTGCAAAATGAAGCCCTATTAAGCACCAGACACAAGGACAATTTTCATTCCACAGCAAGCCTTGAGGCTACTGTTACTGCTCCCACTCACAGAAGAGAGAACAGGTTCACAAAGGTCAGGGTGCTGTCCCCAGCAATCAGCCATGTGCAATGGGGCTGGAACCAGAACCCACACCTGCCTAAGTCCAAAACCTTCTAACCACATCTTCACTGTGAGCACTGGGAAAACCCTCCTTCTGAAGTGGAAGTCAACAAGCCACCTGATGAGTCCCTAGGTCTCGAGTGGACAGCTTTCCAATCACAACTTAAACACAGGCTTGCAGCTGAACAGGCCACAGTGTCCAGTCTTTAGCATGTATACATTTCCAGGACCCAAGAGCACAGTGCCCAGAGCTGTCCAAGAAATGCCCTTTGGTCAGGAGAGCCTTGTAAACCAAAGACACACAGTTTAACTAAAAGCTCATTATGGCTCCCAAGTCCTCCCGATCCCTTCTGGGAAGAGCATCTTTACACTTCACCAGAGGGGTTCCCAGTTTAAATAAAGGCTACATTACATGCACATCTAGACTGACCACCCTCCTTACACCAAAGCCCAGCCTGCAGAAAGCTACTTCACTCATAGTCTTCATCGTGTAGGGCTTTCAAACTTTTCCTCATTTTACTCTAACCAATTGTTTACCGAAAAAACACTTTTGTGTGAATGGAAGTGCCAAAAGTAACATTAGAAACAAAATTCCTGGCTATCCCATTAAAGTATGTACTAGAAGCTAACTACTTAAAACTTTTTACTCTACAGGCTGATGTGAGAAACTCACTAAAACATGCATCAGTCACAAACTGATTATCTAACAAGCATACATATGAAAATATGACTTTACACCTTTTTTTCCTGTGCTGGGGATGGAGCAGGGCCCCACACGTGCTAGGCAAGTTCTCTGCCACTGAGCTGCACCTCAGCCATGACTCCACATCTCAACTGAACCTGCTGCCAATGACATGCGAGTGGCACTGTAACCTGATCAAGAATGTGAACTTTGGAGTACAACCAGCACTGCACTTCCCAGCAGCAGGACCTGAGTGAGCCACCTAAGAATGTGTGGGGCTGGMTCTGCAGGATGGTCATAGCACTTGTGGCACCCTATGCCCAGACTTCCCAAGGAGCTCATGGCAGCGCATGGAGAGCCTGCAAGCCTGGCACCATGTGTGTGCCGGCCCCAAAAACACGTCAGACTAGTTCCTGGATTAGGGCAGCCCTCACACCAGCTGTTCTGTCTGCAATTCTCTTCCTTCTGCTTAGTGTAAAGGTCACCTCCTCCTCAGAGAGGCCTGACTGTTGTCCAAACTGACCACCAGTCCCTAATGTTTTTATTTTGTGCAGCAATTGTTTTTGATGCCTTTTAGTTTATTTTTCAATCTYGTCCCACTACAGTGCAAGCTCCTGAGGAGGCCCCTGTCTGGGTCACAGCYGGGCCTTACCACCTGGAAGTGCCCATTACATAAAAGAAAGTCAACCAATTACCTGTTCAATGTAATTGCTTTATACTTAAAGAAAACGAGACAAAAACCATTCCAGGCAGAGACAACTAAGTACCCCCCAGAAACTGTAGAGAATGTTCTCCATGTGCCTTGTTCTAGAACCCATTAGTTGGCTAGTTTCTATGATCCATCACTCCTAAACTAGGAACTGCACAGAAAAAAGCCCTSTGCCTAGCCTCTGGGGTCAATTCTTCCTGGACAAGAAATGGACTCCAGGCACCATGAAAGCCCTTGTGCTGTTCTCTCCCTGGAATACGCTTCTTGTCCCTACTCTTGGTTATTCCCAAGGCTGCGTTCCAGTCTGGGCACCTAGATCCCATCTGGCCTTTATACCCCTACCTCCACTCCAGTCACCTGTTAACACCATGACCCTCACTGGCTAAGTCTCAATTACTGAGGACACTTTACTCACTTATGGGAAAATTCCATTTTACCATGAAGTGGAAAGTCAACCCAATTAAAACTGAGCAGTTCCAGGACAATAGATCTGAAAATTAAGAAGTGCCACTGAATGTTCTCGGGACGAAGGCAGCCCTCTGGACTCTAAGATCCTGCCTCGGAAGCAAACACTGACTCCATCAGAGGACACCGACGGGCAGTCCTGCACGACTCAAGCCCTCACGCTCAGCCGGAACCACTGCCACCAAACGCTCCTGGCCGACACAGGGGCTTCCCTGAGCCCCTTCAGCACCGTCTTCCGCCTCGGGCGAACAGGTATTGGGGAAGTGGTCACCCGCCACAAACCATCCCAACTCCAACTGTGCGGGCGGCCACAGGCCACTCTCCCCAGAAGCCCCGCCCCGTGGGGGAAAAGAAGCGGCCGAGGAGGGCAGGACCGCGGCCCGCTCCCGGGCTCGGCCAGTCTCCGCGCGGGTCCCTCCCCGGGGCTCGGCCAGCTCCTCCCGGGACTCGGCCAGTCTCCGCGCGGTCCCTCCTGGGGCTCGGCCAGTCTCCGCGCGGTCCCTCCTGGGGCTCGGCCAGTCTCCGCGCGGGTCCTCCCGGGGCTCGGCCAGTCCCCGCGCGGCCCGGCTGACCCTCCCTGGCCCCGCCCGCCCGCAGCCTTGACAGCCCGAGGGAGGCGGAGGCGGCGCCGCCCGGCCGCCCCGCGCCACCAGCCCACCCCCGGCACCTCGCAGCTCCGCTGCGGCCGAGCCGCGGTCTCCCTCACGGCCGCAGAAGGAGGACGGCGGGCAGGACTGCCGCCGGCGCTCACTCGGGCTCCGGGAAGCTGCACGGGAACTTCCGCTCCGTCCTGCGGCGCCGCCTCCGGCCTCCAAGATGGCCGCGGGGCGGGGCCAGGAGCTCCAACCATTTCCGCTTCCGGTGCGGACACCGCGGCCGTTGGCGAGCGGTTCCCTCGGCGGAAGGAGCGGGCTGGCGGAAGTCGTCGCGCTGCACAGGCGCAGTGGCGTCCGCGGGCTCCGGTCCGAACGTTCCGCTCCGGAGATTTCTCTAGCCCGGACTGGCCGAGGCCGCGCCCCCTAACGACCCGAGGCCAATGGCAGACGGCGTGGCTGGTTGCTAGTGAAGCTCTGGCAGCAAGATGGCGGCGTCCAACGAGAGCAGCCCGGCTTCGCTCCCTCAGCGACGGGATCCTCCCGGGCGGCCTCCACGGAACGGTACGGACTGCGCCGCGTCGGGAGCATACCCCCTCTGCGAGGACAAGGCCCAAGAGCCCCAGAGCTCGCGGCCGCCAGGGTCTGAACCCGCTGCCGGCCGCCCAGACACCGGGGTGGCGAAGCTGTGGGCTCGCGGGCGGCGGGGCTGCACCGGTGGGCGCCGCGCAGCCGAGGCCGAGCGGGGCGGGCGCGCAAGGCCCCCCACCTCCCACCCGACGCTGGGCCCTGGAAACGTAGGCCGCGAGATGCAGACTCTAATAGGGGTTGACCCCAAGCCGGGAAAAGCAAGACCAGCTTGAACCCAGAGTCTGCGCGGGTCGTGAGGTGGAAACTGGCCCGAGATCGGCGCACAGCCAGAGCTGGGGGCTCGCCCCTGCCTGGGCGGGCGGCAGGCGCTCCACCCGGAGTTGGGAGTGGGGATGGTGCCAAAAGCTGAATGGACAGAGAGGAGGCTGGCCAGGCCTCCTTAGGTGTAAGTCCGGATTTTGTCCGGACCACTGAAGGTCCCAGAAGGGCTCTCACACTGCATCCCTACCTTCCTGCTAACCAGGTCAGTCCTTCCCAACCCCCACCAACACCCCTGAGACATGTGGACTCCCTAGGGCCGGCTTGTTTGGTCCTGGCCCTGCTCTCCATGTCCTGTCTTCTCCACACTAAGTGGGTGCCCCTCATGTATCATAGGARCCAAAGGATCCCTGGTCGGGTCCATAGTAAGCAGGAAACTGAACCTCACACAGCCTTTCAGCAGTTGACCCAGGTGAAGTGGACAGACTCCTTGAAAGGCCAACAGCGTACAGACACCTCCTCCAGAGCCCAGAGCTGTCCACCTTCAGGTGTCTGTTAATATCACAGTCTTAGTGCCAGGTCGGACTTATGTTCTTTTTCTTCTCAATGTTCAGGTTATGGTGTCTACGTATTCCCAAATTCTTTCTTTCGATATGAAGGAGAATGGAAAGAGGGGAAGATACACGGTAGGAAACCCCACACACAGGTGCAGCCAGCTTCCTGGGGAGTTTGGGGTGGGCCATGGCCCTGTACAAGCATGACCTGGGACATGCCAGCAGCAGGTCCCAGCCTCCTCTGGCTCATGCTGGTGCTGAGTAAGTCCCTTTCACATGGCTCCCACTCACAGTACCCTGGTGCTACCCCCATCAGCTGGCAGCCACTGGCAAGGCTGGGAGGAGCAACAGGCACCCAGGGAGCCGCTCCCACCCCACCCTGGCAAGCTGCGGTACCACAAGCCTTGGGGCACTTTCAGCAAAGGAAGCTTTGGAAGTCCTCCCTGGAGTCTTAGCTAGCTGATCTTTTGCAGAGTAAAAATGTGCTTTAAGGATTTTTCCTGATTATAAAGAGATGACCTACTTTTATAGAAGAATAGAGGAAAGAAAGCCTCCAGTAAAACCCCCTGAAATACCCTACGTGCAATAGCAAGTGCTGTGAGTGTTTGGGGTCTGGACTCACCAGCATCTGCTGTTTGTCGCTGGGCCCCACCTGCCCACCTCCTCCCTGGGTTCCCCGGAGGGCTGGGCTGGCCACATCTGCTGGCTTCTGCTCTCCYATTCTCGACATTCAGCTTTTACTTGGTGATTTGCCACACCCAGGGTGTGGAAGCTCCCACCCAGTCACTCCTGGCCTGCCTCCCTCTGGGAGGGAGATAGGAACAGGTACACTTCTGGGCCTCTGTGGCCCTTCCAGCCAAGGCAGAGTGCTGAGGGACAAAGCAGAGCTCTCCAGTCACTCGATGTTCGTGGGGAGCTGGTGATRAAACCAAGGACCTCGTCCTGCATGCTAGGCAGGTGCTCTGCCACTGGGCTCCACCCAGCCCTCTTTACATTTTTTTAAAAATATTTTTAGTTGTGGATGGACCCAATACCTTTATTTTGTTTATTTAGTTTTTTCATGTGGTACTGAGGATTGAACCTAGTGCCTCATGCATGGTAGGCAAGCGCCCTCTCACTGAGCCACCYCCCAGCCCCATATTTTTATTTTGAKTTGCCCAGGCTGGCCTCAAGCTTGCAGTGCTGCTGCCTCTGGCTCCTGGTGGAGGATTCTGGAGATAAACGTGGAGGACCTGGGTGACTGGCAAAGAGCACACAGTGGACATGTGACAGGGCCAGAGAGATCTGAGGGTTAGGTGTCGCCACCCTTACTCTGAGACGAGGCTGGCGAGTCGGGGCTCGTTGGCAGTGAGGACCGGGCCCCTGACTCTCCGTGGTCCTCCCCAGGTCACGGGAAGCTGCTGTTTAACGATGGGAGTTACTATGAGGGCGAGTTTGCGGATGGTGAGATCACAGGGCTCGGGTGCCGGTACTGGGCCTGGTCAGGTGAGTGCAGAGGAACATGTGGCCTCCTCTCCCAGGCGCTCTCAGGCATAGGTTGGTCCCCTGCTGCTGGACACAGTGTTGTGAGGAAACGAGAGGCCCCAGGTTCCCTAGCTTGGGACAGCAGCGTGACCACAGCCTACCAGCGGCAAAGATAGCCTTTGTGCCCAGGCGGAACCTGGTCCAGTGAGGACACCTCAGTCGGGGCTGTGTGCCCACCTTGCCAGACACGAGCTGGAAAGATTTGTCATCACAGAGCCAGTGCTGGTGGCACTGGGCTATTGTCCCCTCTCTGCAAAAGGCTGAGGCAGGAGGCTCACCTGACTTGCACTCAAGAGCTGGAGGCCAGCCTAGCAACATCGGGAGACTGTCAGGAAAAAGATCACCCTGCRGCTGCAGTTTCCTTTTTTGTGAAAGACATTTCAACCACGTTGTGTCCCGATGGGAACAGTGCTCTTGGCTTCCGTGCCCCGTGGCAGGGATTAGAGGGCCTGGGGACAAGTCTCACCCAAACCGTGCCCCAAGTGCCCACAGGAAGGTCACCTGGAACAGCAGCAGGCCCCAAGGCAGGGAGGACCAGGCCCGGGTCGTCCTGTTTGTCCCCCATGAACCCTGTGAGGAGTGAGAGTCAGGGATGTCCACTGGGAAGTGGCCCCTGCCACCACACTGGTCAGGGGAGAGGACATGCAGGACATGGCACTGACTTCTCCCTGCCGTCTACCCAGGAAACACCTATTCTGGACACTTTGTTCTGGGAGAGCCTCAAGGACGTGGCGTCATGAAGTATAAAGCCGGAGGCCACTATGAAGGGGAGCTCTCTCGCGGCCTGAGGGCAGGTCTGGTGTGCACAGGGTGCTGCGGGGGCTGGAGCCAGATGCCCACTCCGGCATGGGGGTCACCGACTCAGCTTGTCTGGCTTTGGAGCTTGGAAAAGGAGGTGGGGGCCCTGGGGGCAGGGTCATGCCCTCATCTCTGCTCCCAGACCACATCCCATATAGGTCCGCCTGCTAAGCCCCCCTGCTGTGTCCAGTGACACTGGTCATACCTCAGCTGTCTGCTGCCCCTAGCTCATGCCCAACACTGGGGTCACTTGCTCAGGCTCCTGTGGTCCTCAGGTTGACCCTCTGGTCTCACCTGAGCTGCCCCAGGCCTGCAGCCACAGCTCAGCAGGCCTGGTGCTGCCCCAGGTTCCGTGTCTCAGGACTGCCAGGGGAGACTGTAGGCCCTCCCAGGGCCTAGCGGCCCCTTTCTCAGTCTGTTGGCCAGAGCAAGTCAGGAGGCAGGTTCGAGGGGCCCTGTCCCTTTGCCCAGCCACTGGTGGAAGGACTGGCTACATCTGGAAAGGAGTCGGGCAGGCAGGGCCACCTCCGCTCCAGGGGTGGCTTCCTTCCTCCCAGGCTGGCTGTGTCCCATGCCTGTGTCCAGATGTGAAGTGCTGACAAGTTCCTGAGGCCACCTTCTCTTTCACCTTTCCTCTGGACACCAGCCAGCGTGTGCAGACCTCAAACCACCCGGCGCTGCTCGGCTCTCTCCCTCTCAGACTCTGGGTCTGGGGCCTCCGACAGAGCCCTCCCTCAGCCTCTTGGAGCTGGGCTCACGGCCTGCGGGTCAGCCCACTAGTGGCCAAGTCACATTTGCTATTCCTGTCCAGGCAGTGCCCGTGACCCCTGTGTAGCCCAGCCTGGAAGGACAGCCTGGCTCCTGGGTGCAGGGTCACGGAACCCCAGCCTTCCTGCTGGCCTCTCTGCCAGGGAGGGCCACCGCGGGGCTGCAGGCAGAGTCCCTCTGGAAGGCAGTCACCCCAAGAGCCAGGAGCAGGCCGTCCCTGGCAGGAGGTAGCAGTACCCTTGTGTCTTTTGGCTCCTTCCTAGGACGGGGGTTTCTGGTGGACCGGGAAGGACAGGAGTACGAGGGGTCGTTCCATGACAACAGAAGGCATGGCCGGGGCCAGATGCTCTTTAAGTGAGTATGGGTCTCGCTCGGTGTGGGCCAGGCGGAGCCAGAGCAGGGGTGCCCCTGGGTGGGGTGGGTTCTGCAGAGCGCCAGGCCATGGGCGTCGTCCTTGACGCTAGCCCAGGGTCACTTTGTGAACCCTCTCTTTTCTTCCTCTGTGGTGCTGGAGGGGAACCAGGGCCCGCACGTGTAGGAAGCGCTGAGCCACACCCTGCCCTCTCCTCATTGAAAAGTCAAACCCTCCCCAACTAAAATGCCTGGTGGGCTGGGGCTGGGGCTCARTGGGGCAGTGCTCGCCTGGCACGTGGGAGGCCCTGGGTCCCATCCTCAGCTCCACGTAGAAACAAGTAAATGAAAGGAAAGCAACTCAACCAAGTCTCTACAACTCARCCAAGTTAAAAGCACCTGGTGGGGCAGTGGGCTGGGGAGGTGGCCTCCCCGCAGGCCACGGCCACCCGGGTTTGATGAGGGGTGCCTCCTGGCCGGCACAGCCACCCCTCCAGGCGAGGATATGAGGCCTGGGGCCTGAATGCCCTGTCCCAGAGCCGTTCTCACTCCACCCGCCCTGCGCGCGCCCGGCCCTCTCCTGTTTCTTCCACCCTTTCCCCGAGCTCGCAGAGTGTGGAGCCCGGCCTGCTCTGGAATCGGGTCCTGCAGGGTCAGGCAGACACGTCCTGCCCGACTCCAGCCCTCCTGAGCTGGCCCTGGGGAGGCAGGACCCGCAGGCCATCTGTTCGGGGGCCTATTTTTGCCCTGGTCCGGGTGGTGCGTGCTGAGCCCAGTGGGAGGAGCAGGTCTGAGTCACAGCCGCCACCTGGCTGCCTGCTGAGGGCCCTGTGCYGTGCCCCTCAGGAACGGTGATCAGTATGAAGGGGACTGGGTCCAGGACCGGCGTCAGGGACACGGGGTGCTGCACTGCGCTGACGGATCCACCTATGAGGTATCCGCTCACCACCCACAAGGGAGGTGGGCGGCTGGGTGGCTGGGCAGCTCCCCAGGGAGCAGGCTGCTGGACCTGGCGGCACCCTCCAGGTGACACACGCCAGCCCTCGGCACCCTAGGGGCAAGGCTTCCTCCACAACAGCGTCCTCAGCTGGACGGGCCTTGTGCCAAGTCAGGCGGATGAGAAAGCCAGCCGGTCAGCACAGGGCTCCCCACCCAGGATCCCTGAGAGCCCAGTGGACGCAGGGCCCCTCTCCAGCTGGACCCAGAGGAGGCATCTGCTCTGCRGCGCACTCGGCAGCCCACTCTGGGGCCACCCCTGACAAGGCCCTGGGGAGGGCACCCTTCTTTCCCRCTGCCAAGGGAGACCCCAGGAGCTGAGGCCCTGTGTGGCCCGACCTCCCTCTCCACCTGGCAGCGGGGGCCTGTCTGCAGAGCCTGCTCCAGTGCCGGCTGCTTCTCAGCCTGATCTGAACTCCAGCGAGGCCTGCCGAAGACGCCCTGGGGCAGGCGCTGAGATTTTCATTTTCCTGATGAGAAGACTGAAGCTTAATGAGGGTGACTGGTTGAGCTGAGTTTGGGTCTTCAGCTGACACCTGGCCCTAGAGGCCTTGGCACCAGCTTGCCCACCTCCTGGAGTCACGAAGGACCATGACACTGTGCCCTATAGAGGAGAGAGTCACTTCTGGTCACATAAAGCGTGCTGATGAGAGACACCTGGGTCCAGGAGGTCCCCTGTGTATGCAGGCAGGAGCCCCACCCTCTCAGGAGTGAGGCCCGCGGGGTCCCCTCCCTCCGGGGGACTCCAGGCTCTGAGGAAGCAGGTGGAGAGCTAGGCAGGTAGGGAGACCTTCCCAGGCCCTCGTCAKGGCTTTCACCGTGAGGAGCAGAGCTCAGCTAGGAGCAGAGCAAGCAGGGGCCAACTTGGGCTGGTGTGGGCACCAGCAGCCAGTGCGTCCTCCRCTGAGCCGGGCACAGACACCTGCCCTGGGGGCCCTCCCAGAGGGACCAGCCTTGGAGCTGAGGCCGGGAGGTGGACGAGCTGCCGCCTAGAGACGGAAGGGCAGAGCCTGCCAGGCCGTGGAGCAGCAAGGGCAGAGAGACCAACACGCAGAAAGAGGGCAAGGTCAAGAGCAGCCAGGGCCCAGGCATCCTGCTGTCCCAGAGCCTCGGCCCGTCACGAAGCCCCTCTCGTCTCCGGCTCTCGTGTAGAGACTGACAGGCGAGGGGGCCCTGCACACTCTTCAGGAAGCAGGTAGCGGCCTGCAGGGCGCGGCCAGCAGGTATGGCGCGTCTGGACAGAGGTGTGGGGCTCACTGACAGGTGGGCATCAGGCAGAAGAGACACAAGGAGGACTGGTGGGCTCCTGGTCTGAGCGTGGGAGGAGAAGGTACCTGCTCCAGATGCAGCAGGAGAGGAAGCCACTCTGGAACTGTCACCAGAGGAAGTGCAACGAAAGAATCACCGACCAGGAAAAGGGCAAAGGAACAACACCAAAATAGCGATGCAAGAGTGTCCCCAAGGCACCTCCAGGATGGGGTGACTTTGACCTGCTGTCCTAGGGCCCTCCAGGAGGGGTGGCATTGCCTGCTGTCCCAGGGCCCTCCAGGAGGGGTGGTGTCATCCTGCTGTCCCAGGGCCCTGCGGTCTGGTGGCATTAGCCTGCTGCCCCGGGGCCTGACTGCAGGGTGAGCTCCTTGCAGTGGGAATTGGGAGCCAGGAGGGYGGAGCTGGGGCTTCTCACAGCTGGAGCTGTCACCGTGTTGGTCGTGAAGCGCCAGCCGGGTCAGGGCYTGGGAGCCCAGCACTGCTGCACTGGGCTGATGGCAGCGATGGTGGCTGYACTGGCTGAGGGGTCCCCTGAGCGTCCCCCAGTCTCAGCAGGAAGGAGGCGAGTTGAGGCCTCTGGACAGCTCCAGCCCCAGCTGAGAGAGGTGCCAGGCCCCTGAGGGAGGCCTCGTTCCTGGYGGAGTGGCCCTGGTGGTTGACCTCCCGTCAGAGCTGCCAAGAGCTGGGTTCTGCTGGAGGTGGCTAGCCACAGGAGCTCGGGCAGTGGTCCTCACTGGCTGCCTGTAGGACATGAGTCTGGAAGGAAGCCACATCTTCTCCCCCAGCGGGGCCCAAGGGTCYGTGGCTCAGGACCAGCGTTCCCACATGGGGCTTGACTCAGGCGCCAGGGCAGAGCGCAGAGCCAGGACCCCACTGAGACCTCCGCCCTGCACCCCACCTGCCCCACGGCTGTGGGTCAGGGTGCCTGGTGTGGCTGCTGCGTGACAGTTCCYTGCTCAGCTCCTCACGGTGTCAGCCTGGGCTCCTCTGAGACAGGCCATCACCCTGATTTACAGATGGAGAAACGGAGGCTCAGGACGTCTCCCAAACTAGCAAGTGAGCACAGGGCCTTGGCCACAGCCCAGTGCTGCCTGCCCTGAGCTTCCGGGAAGACTGCCCTGCTGGGTCCCCCCAGGGCCTGACCTCTGCCCAAGCACAAAGGAGAAGTGGTGTCTGCTGGTGGCCAGGACAGAGCCCTCAGCAGGGCAGTTACCAAGATCTTGTGCTCCCCTAGCCGAATCCTGACCCCAGAGGCAGGTCTCTCCCCAATTACCATAGGCCATGCTGCCTCTGGGCACCAGTGGACCCAGCTCTGCTGCACCTCCACCCTGAAGCCGGAAACTGGGGACAGGGCGGTGGAAGTGCCTCTCCGGCTGCAGCAGCTCCACCACTCCACCAGGGGGCAGCCCAGCGCCACTCAGCAGCWCCACACCAGCCTCCAGCCTCAGTTCCCAGCCGGTGCCGGGCCGGGCCACCGAGGGAGCGCAGGCCTGCCTGTGGTTGTGACCTCCCTGTCCTGGGGCCAGAGGCTGGAATTCCACAGGACGTTTCAGAGAGGCCTCACCCCTGGGCGGCCTGCAGGTCTGTCGGTGAGGACCGGACGTCCTCCGCTCGGCCCATCTGCAGGCCCTTCACCCAGCCCTGTGCACACAGCCCTGGCTGGCCCCTGGCCCGTGGCCGCCCAGCTGGGTCAGGAGCCCTGGCAGTGTCCGGGGAAGGGGAGGAGATGGTCCCCGTCCTCTGTGCCACTTTGGCCTGTGGCCCAGACACTCTCATGGCATCAAGAGTGGTGGCCGGAACTGAAGCAGCTACTGCCAGGGACACAGAGTGACCAGAGGACCCAGGGCCACATGATGTGAGCCCTGGATTCCGTTCCCTCCAGCGCCTTGTTCAGCAGCCCTGGTGGGGCTGAGGACCCGTGTGGACCAGAGCCCTTTCCTGTAAGCATAACCCTGGTGGCAAAATGCGGGTGGCATGGCATCTGCCGTGGTGCTGGTTTTCGGCATGCAGCTCTGTGCACTGATCCACCCGCACCGGGTGCGTCTCCACCCGCCAGCTCCAGGCTCCCCGTCCTCCTTTCTCTTCTGAACATCTGACTATGGGGGCGTCACGTGAAAGGAATCCCCAGGGACTGGGCCCTTGGTGTCTGGCGTAAGTCGCAGCATCCTGGACGTTTGTCCTCGCTGCAGCCGTGTGGGAATTCCCTCTGTGGGGCTGAGTGCTCCTCCATCGGGGGTACACACCACTCTCTGAGTGGTGCTGGGCATCGGGGGGGCTCTACCCTCCGTTACCTCCCCGACCTTTGAAAACCATCCTAGATTGGAAACTGCCTCAGTAACTTGCCACCCCCTGCTCAGCCTCCCCAGAGCAGGGCTTCAGGCGCACACCACCACAGCGCCCCGTTCCACCTGTTTAAATGTTGATCCGGGGCCTTGCTGAGTTGCTGAGGCTGGTCCCAGACTTGTGATCCCCCTGCCTCAGCCTGGGATTCCAGCCGTGGCCACCGCGTCCACTCAGGTGGACGTTTTCTCTCCCGGGTCTGTCGGGCGCCAGGGCCGCTGCTTCCAGCCTTGGCGGTGGTGAGGCTGCTGGTGTGCWGGTCCCTTCCAGAGCCCACTCTGTGGGGCTGTGTGGACCCACATGGGTGACGGCACCGTGTGGCAGTGGCTGCACCCTTTCTGGTTCCCACCGAGGTGCCCAGGGGCTCAGTCTCTGCACCTGCTGCCCACCCTCCTTTTCTGGCTGGGTCAACGGCGCCATCCTAATGAGCGTGCACCCGCTAACCGCAGCTGGCAGAGATGCGCCCGCACCCTCCACCCTCGCCCTCCCCCTGAGGCAGGATCTGCGCCTTCTGTTGGTGTCCGTCTCTCCCACCCCACTGGCCGGGCTGGCCACGCCAAGGCCCTCTCTCCTGCTGGGGCTCTGTGCMGAGCCTTCCCATGGCTCCGCCTGGCCTTGGGCTCTGCCTGTCGGATGGGCCGGTGCTCGGCTGCCTCCAGGAAGCCCCCAGGCCCACCAGCTACTCCCCACTTATTTCAGGTGCAGCTTTGTTTTCTGAAAAGACTGGAGAGCAGCCAGTCCCCTCCCTCATCCTTCCACTCTGGGCGAGGCCTCTCAGCCCTCCAGGCTTGGCCCCAGCTGTTTCTCACAGTAGCCCGGGTTGCCCTRGCTGGTACAGAGAGAGGTCAGACCCAGACCTGAGGAGCGCAGAGACTCCAGCAGTTMCTGCAGGCGAACTCAGGGCTGGCCAGAGACCCCCCGAGGACATCTTCACGGGGCAGGTGACCCAGGGAGGCCTGGTGGCGCCCCAAGGCACAGGGTAGCCCCTGGAGAGCCGCAACACTCGGGGAACCCTAGTGGAGCCCAGAGCAGTGCACCGGAGGAGCGGGGTCTTGGGGGGGCACCTTTGGTGAAGCGCGGTGTCTGTCTGTGGTTCCAGACAGAGAGATGGCTCCAGGCACTGGCTGGTCTCCCACGGGSAGCAGATGGCCGGCCTACGGGCACCTTCACCTGCAGCCGTCTCCAGCCCCTCTCCTCACCTGGGGCCTGTGGGAACGCTGCTCCAGAGAGACCCAGGGGCCGATGGACAGGGCCCAGAGCCCCTCCCACATCCTGTGCCCGTCCTCGGGTCAGAGAGGCCAAGTCCACGAAAGCAGGCTCGTGACCCCAGAACAGGTCCCCACAGATCCCGGGCAAAACTGGGGTATTGGAGCATCCGCACCCAGCCGTGGCCGTTTACGGAGCCAACCACTCAGCATGGACCCTCCCCACTGGCCACCGTCACCACAGGAACTCTGAGGGCTAAGCCTGGGCCAGGTCAGTGACCCCACAGAACATGGGGACCGGTGACGTCAAGACCGCAGGTCCGCTGACAGGAGGTCCCAGGAAGGTGCAGCCAGGACCGGGTGGCGCAGCACCCTGTGGACCCCGCCGTTCATTGGGAAGTGAGGGGCCACCTGTCCTTGGTGGCTGAGGGGCGGCACACATCTCACTGTTGGGCCCCGGGGCCAGGAGGAAGGTCCCTGCCGCTCTTGCCCACGAGGTGCCCACGGGGAGTGATCTCACCTGCTCAGGTCTGAGGCTTGGCTAGAGCTGGGGACAGTCCCTTCTTCAGAACAGAGCAGCAGAGAGGCTTGTGGCTCCCCCACCCCTGCCAGGCTCTTCCTGCTGTTATCAGCCAGGTCCCTGGAGCCCAGGGAGGACTGCGGTGGGCAGGAGCCTGAGAGGTGGACCTCTGACGAGGACGGACATGCACACGCTGCGGGAAGGAGGCCGGGCAGCTGCAGAGTCATTTCTAATTAAAATTAGGGAAAACCGGCTTCGATGTGCTGGAAAGAGCTTCCTGGAGTTCGACACGTTGGCCACACCACTGTCCCACCACCTGGAGGCTGGGGCACAAGGACTGGCAAGTTCAAGGCCAGCCTCAGCCACCTAGCCAGGCCCTGGGGGTGCCGCTCAGTAGCAGCGGGCCCTGGGCTCACCCCGAGGTACCACAGAAAGACCACTGCCMGAGATGGAGCCGGGCACTTGTCCTCACGGTCCATTTACACTCAGCCTGCCCGTGGCTGGACGGCGCCCATGGCTTGCAAGCCACGGGGCATTGCTTGTCGGAGTGTCTGGGGACATCACTGAAGGAGCGTCCCGTCTGGCTGCACTCACCTGCCCCGGGAGTCAGGAGGCCTCTGGGAGTGCCAGGGTGGTGGCAGCCGGGCGGGAAGGTGCTGGGCTGGCACCCCTCCCCTGAGGCCGCCTTGGAGGCTGACCCGGGCCCCCTCCCACCTGCACACCGCTCCTTGGCGTTGGTCTCCCGTGTTCCCCAGTCTTGCTTTATGTTGGGTGTGGGTTTCCCTGGCTGACCCTGTCATCGCCTGCACCTKCCTGTGTCCCCTCACTGCACCCTGTCCTCACCTGGGTGCCAGGCAGCAGCATGACTAGGGGGAGGGAGAACAGTGGTGCCCACCCCAGGGGCTTGGTCAGTGGCCTTGTGCCCCACCCTGGCCCAGCCGAGGCCGCCGTGTGTTGCAGCCCGCCCTGGGCACCGACCCGGAACGTGCTTGGCTCTCAAGTCCAGGCCAGCCTTGCTCACCTGGCCGCTCGGGCTGCTTCCAGGTGGCCCCAGGACCCCTGGTCCCTGGTGTGGCAAGGAACCTCTCCACACCGAGGCCAAGACACATTGGCATGTACGGCTCCCTCTTTGGGTGCRTGTGGACCAGCAAGAGCAGGGTGTCCGAGTGCGGGATTCACATCTGTGCAGCCGGGACCAGCCCACAGGTTAGCCATCTGACCAGCCAAGTGCTGTGCCCAAGCCCCAGAACCACGGAGAGGGCTCAGATCTGAGAGTGCCTCGCACAGTCACCTCTGCMGCAGCGGTGGCATGCACCATGGATGATGGGCACCGTTGGCCATGCTCGAGTGGCCCCAGGGAGCGCAGTGGCCAGGGCTCCTGGCAGACGTGCAAGGAGCGCTTCTCGCCACCCTCCCCAGCTGTGTGCCCGAGGAGGCTTCTCTGCAGCACTGTGGGGGCCCTGCATCCAACTGGCCTCTCTGCCTGGGGCATCCACCCGTGGACAGATACGTGGCTGCACCTCCTCTGAGGAGCTGGCCGAAGAGCCTTGGTCTGGAGGCGGTGTGCCTGCCCCAGGCCTCGCTGCAGACCGAGTGTCCACTCCAGCATGTGTGCTAGATCATCACCTCTCTGGAGAGCTGGACCGGGAAGGAAGGAAACCAGGGTCAGGAGTGAGGACGGCAGTGCCAGGAGGGGACAGGAGGCCACCAGGGAGGAGCAGTAAATGAGGACCATGGCCCCCTTTCTGGGGAGTGTAGTCAGAGACCAAGAAGGCCAGGCCAGGGTGAGGACCCGCCTGCCGGCTCCCGGCAGCCATGGCCACACCACTGCAGCCTGGAGCCCACTCCTGGCACCCGGCCCCAGGCCCTGCCTCCTCTTCYGTGCGCCTGGCTCTGGGGCCTCAGGTCCATGGCTGCACCGAGGGGAAAGGGCTGCCTGGGGCTCGGAGGCCATGTGAGTTGCAGCTCCTCCTACCAGGACGACCCTGGGGCGGGCATGGGCGACACCGGCCAGCACTCAGCACTGGGCACTCCAGGAGCACGGCCACCGTGGGAGTTGGGAGCCATCCGTGCTGGGCTGGGAACTCAGGTCTCAGTGCAGGAGGGRCAGGGCCACCTGGGGCCCCTCGAGACCCCATAGGGATGACTTAGCAGCTCGTGGGAGGGAGACTGCCCAGATCAGAAAGGGGTGAGGTCGGCAGGCGCCGGCTGTGTGGGGAGGACAGCTCTGGGCTGCCCACCCCTGCTGATGTGGCCGGCCCCAGGCCCTCCACACTTGTCTCTGGCTTGTCCCCAAGGGCCCAGGGAAAGCCCTTAGACTTTGGGGTGCCCGCCCTTTGCGGCCCTTCTCCCCAGTCTGGGCATCCTCGGCCTCCCAGTCCCCGAGGCCCGAGGGTTCCATACCACCATGCCCCCGTTCTGCTGCCGCCCCTCAGGGCTGCCCTCCCCCCGGTGCCCACATGGCCCGTGTCCCAGGGCCAGTGCGGTGCCCGCAGAGCCCGTGCCTCCACCGTGCAGCCTGAGGCCTAGGGGGGCGGGATCCTGGAGCCCGGTTAACCTCTGCAGCGGAGGCTGGAACGGAGCCGCTCTGGCCAGTTCCCCTTACAGAAGTGACCCAGTCAGACACGACACCCTGGGATTTTCCGTGGAAATGCCTCTCCCGCTCTGTCACGTTGCTGTTCCACCCTCCGTTGTGCGTGTGACCGGAGGCCAGCTGTGGCTGAGGAGCGGCTGGAGGGGGCGTGCYGTGAGCAGGCCCCGCCCAGGGGGCCTGTGGTCACTGTGCTTTAATGGCCTTTCCACTTGAGAGCGTGCAGCCTGACGGGCACCTCGTCCTGGCGCCCTGGGCGGGGGCGGGTCTCTGTGATGGGCACAAGGCTGTCTCTGACCAGTCTCCGGGGTGCTGTGAGCTTGTTCTCTCCGCGTGTTAAAGCCGAAGGAGAGACCCTTGACCAAGCAAGCTGGCCGGCACCCCAGCAGCATGGCCTTCACTCAGGAAAGCACTGGGCTGCGCTCCCGGAGCTTGGGTGTGCAGAGCCCCGTCCCTGTGGAACTGACCTTTGAGGCCATTCTGTCCTCTCTGCAGGGACAGTGGCACAGTGATGTCTTCAGTGGGCTGGGCAGCCTGGCCCACTACTCGGGAGTCACTTACTGTGGCCTGTGGATCAACGGCCACCCAGTGGGTAGGTGTCCCTGGCCTTCCTGTTGGCCTGTGGGGTTGGCCCTGGGAAGTCCCACTGGGGACACTGGGCCTCCAGCACATTGGGCGAGGCCTGGGATGAGATGGAACCCAAAGTCCCTTCCCCGTTGGGAGAAGCATGTTGTGGTTTGATTTCCAGAGGGCTGTGGACATGCAGGGTCCTGCTGCAGCAGGGCCTCCCAGCTGCAGACCCCCTCACAACACCCCCACCCAGGGACCTCCCAGCCACAGGCATCTGGAGTGGCCTGGTCATGCTGCACTGCCCCCCAGGTAGCCTCAGTCTGACTCCCCTGACGCTGTACACTCTGAAGTGACCACACGGTGGCCTGTGGCCTACAGAGGGGCTGGCCACCTCCCTGGGCCACGATTCCTGCTCTCCTGTTGCTCCTGGTGGGACCTGGGTGGCCTCAGCCCAGGCGACCCTGCGCCCCAGCTGGGCTCCTCGCTCGGGCTTGAGGTCACATGACACCRTCTCCTGGACAGCTCCTCTGACCGGCAGGAGAGGGCTGGAGCTGCAGGGGTCGACCCTCCCAGCCGCTGACGCTGTCCTCTGCCCTCTCCCAGAACAAGCCACGAGGATCGTCATTCTGGGTCCAGAGGTGCTGGAAGTGGCCCAAGGAGCCCCCTTCACACTGCGGGTGCAGCTGCAGCAGGCCCACGGGGACCTTGCCAAGAGTAAGCTCCACCAGGGGATGATGGCGCCTCTCCCAAGGGCAGAGGCCCGGGGTGGGGTTCTTGGGCAGCAAACGCCCGGGAAAGAGGCCTCCGGGGCTTCCTGGCACCCGTGCTGAGTGTGCCAAAGCCGGTGGCCCAGACCCAGCCGAAGGAGCGGAGCTGGCCGCCCTCCCACTGGTGGGCAGCCTGGTTTCCGGGTGTGCGCGCGAGAGTCCGTGTCTGGCTTGCGTGTGGGCTGCTGCCCAAGGTCAGCGCGCATCTTACAGAACACGGAAGAGGGAAGAGACGCTGTGGGTCTGGCTGAGTCCACCCCTGGGGTGGTCAARGAGGATGAGGTCCTTTGTTAGGAGCTCGGCCCCCTCCTGCTGTGAGAGATGGGCCCGCCAACTTCCCCAAGCCCTTGCCACCTCKCTGCGAGCCCCAGTCCGTGCTCTTCCCCTTGGCCCAGCAGGCTGCATTTAGGACGCCCCTCCTGGGCGTGGCGGACACCTCGGTCATGGCCAGCCGGTCTGCTTAACAGCCTCGGGCAGGCATCGTTTTCACGCCATGAGGCAAACCTGTGCCAAGCCCTCAGGTCTGGGCAGCCACCAGCACAGCATGACTCTCTCAGAACATCTCCCTCCCCTGGAAAGACCCCCGCTGGCGACCCTGTCCCCACACCCGCCCCGGCCAGCCCTAGCCGTCCTCAGACTCTGCAGACTGTCCTTTCCTGGACRCTTCATGTGAAGGGGAGCTCGCTGCCTGTGGCTCAGGCTCCGTCCTCTCTCCTGCRCGATGTCAGCCTCCTGCATTTGGCCACGTCACCAGGGCCCTCCTTCCTCTCAGAGTGGCACCCACCGTGGACATTTGGCCTCTTGTGGACGGTGCCACTGTGGACACTGGGCACAAGTCCTTATTGAAACACTTGCCTTTGGCTCTCCTGAGTGGGGCCACTGGGCCATGCAGTGGACTCACAGTCCAACTTCAAGAAAGTGTCCATTATTCCCAGAACGGGCACGTCTGCGTCCCTCCTGCGTGCCGGCCCTCCGGCTGCTGCTCCTCCAGCCTGGCAGGCTCTGCCTGGTTGCAGCCAAGGTCTCCAGTGCTGGCTCCTCGCAGCTGGGGCCTGCGTGTCCCTGGCTGGGGCTGCTGGGCAGCTCCTCGTGGGTTCGTGGGCCGTCCGTGTATCTTCTCTGGAGAAGCGTCTGTCCAAACGCTTTACCCACTTTAAAAATCCGCACTGGGTGKGCTCTTGTTTTTGACCTCGAGTTCTTGGGGTGCGAAAGAAGACAGATGCGCCATGGCGAACGCCTCCCGCTGGGCGCCTCCTTCCACTCTAAAGGCTGTCTGTCTCCTTCACAAAGTTCTCGATCTCGGTAAAGCCCAACCTGCCAGCTTCTTTCACGGATCAGACTTCTGGTCCCAAAACTAAGGATTCTCTACTCACCAAGGGCACAGAGATGTCCCCGTTCTCTTCTAGAAGTTTCATGGTTTGAGCTCTGATATTTAGGTCTGTGATCCATCTTGACCTATTTTCTCTGGATGAAATTGAGCTCTGAATCCAACTCCCAGCCCCGTTTGTTGAAGAGACCGTCCTTCCCCCCCTTGAAGGGGAAATTAGTTCACCCCAAGAGTGAAGGCGCCTGCCTGGGCTCGGCTCTGTGGCACTGGGCTGTGTGTCCACCCTTAGAAGGTGAACCCTGGCTCTGCCAGGACACTCCCTCTCCGTCACCGTGGCTTCGGTGCCCTTAGGAACTGGAGACATCTCCAGCCTTGTTCTACTCTTCAAAATGGTTTTGGCTTCTCTGGGCCCTTCCTGTTTCCACATGAACTTGAGGGTTGACCTGTTGCTGTCTGCTGGACTCCACTGGGGACGGAGCTGCCTCCGGGTGGACCGCCATCCCCGCGGCTCCTCCTCGCGTGGTCGGAGCCCTGCTTTCTCTCCCAGCGTTTGACGTTCTGCACGCACGAGTCTGGTGCCTCTTGTTAAGTGAATCATTAATAATTTGAAGTTTATGATGAGCTGTCTGATTAAATTATGTGATCAGTGTGATTATCGATGGTCACTCATGAATCTGATTCATTCTTTTTATGCTATTGGGAAGGGGACGGCCTTAACTCCATTTCAAATGCTGGCTTCAGGTGGGTTTTGTGTGTGGATCCCGCGTGCTTCGGCTTGGTTGGACTCAGTTATCAGTGCTGGTTTCTCTGAGGGCTCCTCAGGAGTCTCCAAATCCATGGAACCGTGCAGCCTGGACCTGAGGGTGCCGTGCTGAGCTCTCTGCTGCTGGATTTCCTTTGGAGAAATGTCCATTCAGATCCTTTTTTTTTTTTTTTTTTTTTTTGGTGGTTATGCTGGGGACTGAACCTAGGGCCTTGTGCATGCAAGGCAGGCCCTCTACCAACTGAGCCATGTCCCCAGGCCCGTTCTTGTGTATTTTTAAGAGTTCTTTACATGATTTAAGTCCCTGTCAGACACCTGCTTTGAAAACACTTTTCCCCATTTTATGGGCCATCTTGCAGTTTCTTGATGGTACCCTTTGAAACACAAAAGTTGTCTGTTTTGTTGTAGTACTGGGGACTGGACCCAGGGTGCTTTACCACTGAGTCACATCCTCAGCCATTTTTTTTTTTTTTTTTTGAGACAGAGGATTGCTAAGTTGACCAGGCTGGCCTCGTATTTGCCATCCTCCTGCCTCAGCCTCCCTGGTTGTTGAGATTACAGGTGTCCCAGGCCAGCCTCATTTCCTTGTTTCTGCTCACTGTAGATTTAATTTGCTCTCCTTTTTTCTAGTTTCTTAAGGTGAAAGTTAAGGTCATTCATTTCAGACCTTGCTTTTATAATATAAAGGTTTATTGCTATGAATTTCCCCCAAATACTGCTGTAGCTGCATCCTGCAAAGTTTGAGATGTAGTATCTTCATTTTCATTCAGTTCAAAATACTTTCTGGTTTCCTTTTTAATTTCTTTTTTTCACCCATGAGTTATTTACAAGTGTGTTGTTTCAGTTCCAAATATAGAGCTCTTTCTGCTATTGAATTCTAACTTAATTCCATATGGTTAGAGCTATACTTTGTATGTATCGATTTCTTTCAAGTTTAATTGAGAATTTTTATGGGTCTACTTCAGTAAATGTTCTGTGTGCACTTGAAAAGAATGTGCATTCTTTTGTTGGATGGAGTATTATATGAATGTCAGTCAGGTCAATCTTGTTTTCATAGGCTGAGCGTTCCTAGTCCAAAAATCTAAAATCTAAAATCCAAAACTTTTTGAGGGCCAATGTTTTAGATTTTAGAGCATTTCAGATTTGGGATTTTTAAAATTTTTTTGCATTAGGGATGCTCAACAGATAAAGTTCTTGCAAAATTTCCAAAATCTGAGAAACTCCCCAACCTGGAACATTTCTGGTCCCCAGCATTTTGTGTAAAAGACACTGAGCCCGTGCTGGCATTTGAGTTTGGTGTACCCTTGCTGGTCTTCGGTCTGCTTGTTTCTGTCAAATGCTGAAAGTGACATATCGACACCTCTGACCCTCGTTATGATCTGTCCGTTTCTGCCTCTGTACTTTGAAGCTGTTATGGCGCGTGAATGCTTCAGGTTTCAGGTCTTCTGATTCTTCGCCCCTGGCCGGGTCTGACGCCCACTTCCTGTGACATCAGGACAGTGACCTTCCCCTCCTTCAACCATCTAACCTGGGCTCTCGACCCGCCCTCTCCTTTGGGCCCATGGGTCTCACCTCCACCGTGAGAACTCGGAGGCATACGCCCGCTGGGTCTTGCCTTGGATTCCGTCTCTAACAGTCTCTGCCTTTTAACTGGAGTCTTACGCCTTTCGTGTTTATTGGGATCATTGAGGTAGTGGATTCAAATTCACCCTTTGCTGCTTCTCGTTGGCCCAGGTGTCTACCCTTGTGTCTGTTTTGAGCTGAGTTTTGTACACTGCTCTGTGCCTTCTCTGACGGCTCCTTCCCGGGGACTCTTGCTCTGTTACTTGAGGGTTGCTCTCAGGTGGCAAGAGCGTTTTAACTTACCACAGTCACCTCCAAGTGATTTCATTCCACGTCACACTCAGAACTCCRTGACAGTCTCCATTTTCCTGCACTCCCAAGCTTTATGCTAATGTTTTCACACATTTTTTACATCCACACATATAATAAGCTCCATGACAGAATGGTGTTATTTTTTCATGTTTTTTTGATTGTAGGTGGACACAACACCTTTGTTTATTTATTTATTTATTTATATGTGGGGCTGAGGTTCGAACCCAGCGCTTCACACGTGTCAGATGAGCCAGCTGTCACCGAGCCACAACCCCAGCCCCGCTGGTGTGATCTTTGTTGAAAATGCCACTGACCTTTTTTTGTGTAGCGAGGATTGAACCCAGAGGGCCTGGCCGCTGAGCCACATGCCCAGCTCTTTGAAGTTTGTATTCTGAGACAAGGCCTCCCGAAGTTGCTGAGGCTGGTGTTGAACTTAACGATCCTCCTGCCTCAGCCTCCCCAAGTGCTGGGATCCCAGCATGTGCCACAGCACCCACCCACCTATTTTTCAATAGTATTTCATAGATAGAGAAAAAGATCTCATCTACACACCTAGCTCCTACGTCTGGTCCTCCGTGCTCCTTCCTGTCGATCCAGACGACTCGCTCCGTCATCCCTCCTGGTGGAGGTGGCTGCTGGTGAATTCTCTCGGCATTTCTGTGTCTGCAGACATCTGGATTCCACCCTCCAGTCTCTAGCCGCGTTGGCGGGCACAAGCCCACAGGGGGCTGAAGGCCTGGCTCCACTGCTCCCCAGCTGGCCGGTCCCCAGGAGAGGTCTCCTGGTCTCTGTGCCCGTGGCCAGTCTGGTCATGATGTGACAGGCGACGGTTCCTTGTGCTCTTGTGCTTGGGGTTTTGCTGAGCTCCTCACACCTGTGAGTTCAGAGTTCTCATCAGATTGGGGAGCTCCCGGCCGCCATTCCTCTCCGGGTTCTGCTGCGGCAGCCTCTCGCGCACCACCGGGGCGAGCTGTCTGCGGCCCTCCCTCCCTCCTCTCCTTCCTTTCCTTCCCCTTCTGGCTTTCTCTTTCTTCTCTTTTCTCTCGGGGTCTCCTCTGCTCTGTTTCCGAGCCCCGGGGACCTGTCCTCGGTGTCGTCGGGTGACAGTCCGTGTTTCTCGCGTCGCCGTGCTCAGCCCAGAAGCCCAGCTGCCCTCGGTCCACCTTCTGCTTCAGGCTGCGCCCGCAAGCCCAGCGCGACGCCCACCTTCCTGGTGTCCTGACTGCTGAGCACTGGTCACTTCCCGGTCGGCTTCAACCTACTCATCTATTTTTTTTTAAGATCTTTGATTTTTTCCTGTGGTTGTCGACAGGCCTTTATTCTATTTATATGTGGTGCTGAGCACGAACCCAGTGCCTCACACAGGCCAGGCGAGAGTCTACCACTGAGCCCCAGCCCCAGCCCCCAATTTATTTTTCTCCTCCTGATGGGCCACGTTCTCCTGCATTCTCTGCATACCCGGTGACTTTGATTGGGTGCCAGACGTGGTAAACTCTGCCTTCTCGGAGCCTGCCGTCTGCACTCCTGTAACTGAACTTGAGCTTGTTCCAGGGCAGAGTGAGTTACAGGACAGTTGGATCCTTTGGGGCTTTTCTGACTGTTAGGCAGGTCTGGAGGAGAGCTCCATCTGAGACCAGTTATCCACTACAGGGCCCTCTGAGGACTGCCCTGGACTGCCCAGTCCCCCGTGACTTCCAGCAGGGCTTGGGGGGACAGCCCCTCTGACCGGGGAGCCCAGACCTGTCGCTCTGCTTCCTCCAGGTGGCCCTTCCCTTGGCCTGACAAGTCCCAGGGTGTGTGCTGACCTGTGCTGTCTCCTCGCTGACGCCGTGTCCTTGACTCCAGGCCTTGTCCCCCAGATTCTCAGCTGGTTCTCCTCAACTGACAGCATTTTCAGGGCAGCTTCTGGGGTATGAGGTGACCCTCTCCCTGCCACCCAAGGGGGAGACCCCTGGGTCTCCCACTTCGTCTTGAGTTTCTTCTAAGGCTTCGGGAACCTGGCTGCTTCCCAGGTCCTTTGTGGTCTGGAAGCCGGCCCCAGAGCTCGGCATCAGCCCTGGGACACAGGACTGGTCGCCCTTCCCGCCTGCGCTCCCGGCACGCGCTTCTAATGGGCCCTCCAAGTGGGGCTGTGGGGTCTCCAGCCCTGTCCTCAGCGCTCCCTGCAGCCTGAGGTGTCCACCAGGACTGCAGTGGAAACAGGTCCACCACAGGCACTCACCGAGGTGCTGACCACCGAGGGCAGCGGTGCAGCATGGTGAAGCCACGAGCTAGTGAGCAGAGACAGCCCTCCCAGGGCGGGGGAGGTGGTCGGTACTCTGAAGACCGAGCTGGAGGTCTGGGGCCCAGGGTTCCGTCTGCAGACGGCTCTGGAACAGAGGACCAAGGAGCAGACACCACTGTCCCCAAGCATTCCCCAGGCCTCCTGGGGCAGGCGGCAGAGCTGGAAGACCCAACAGAGAGGCGTGCCGAGAAGGAGGGCAGCTGGTGCTGAGGGCTAAGGCAGAGATACTGGGGTGCATGAGGAGGCCCCCGAGATCCCAGGGCCAGGAGACCGCTGCAGGACAGACCCAGGGGAGGCCACCCAAGCTGAAGGTGGTCGTGCTGAGTTGAAAATGGGGTGTGACAGGCCCACCACGCAGCCCCCCGGGGTGGGGTCCGGCCGAGCCCTTGTCCACATTCCTCCGGGGCCGCGTCTAGGGCCTTGCTCCCCAACTTCTCTCCTGGAAGGTGAGAGTGGCCGGGTCCTGAGGATCTCCGCCGGCATCAGATACGTGCAGCTCCCCACCTACTCCGAGGTCAGCTTTTTCAAAGTGGATGAAGACCACCAAGAGACGCCCATGGAGACGCCATTGTGAGTGACGCCTCCCCCTGGGGCTGGAAAGGCAGAGGAGGAGTCGGACTGGAGGGAGCCGCCCACACGTTCCCCYGGGCCGGGACCAGCGCAGGCTGTGACCTGTGCTGCAGCAGACTTGGGAGGGTGGACATAAAGGCACAGGGGGTGGCCAAGAGGAAGGGCAACTGAGTAGCATGGAGGGCTGGCAGGCCTCGGGGAGGGGACCGCAGGGCACTGACTGGCCCTCTCTCTGGCCTGAGTCGGTCCCTGCCCAGCAGGCATCTTGGGGTGACCCACACAGCCCTCCAAGGGTGCCTGGATAGTGCTCCTGGACTCCAAGCCTCAGCCAATACCCGGGGTAGGGCCAGGCCACAGGCCTCCCCTGTACTGGCCTCCGGCCCTGACCCTCAGGCCTGACCTTGGTGTTCCCTTCCCAGTGGGTTCCAGTGCATCTCCTATCCCTTGTCCACCCCCACCTGGCGGGGTCCGGAGCCCAAGGCTGCCCGGGAAATTGCCGGAGATGAGTCACCACTCCCGGAGGGAGACCAAGGGGACACCCCCAGTGGCCTGGCTGGTGAGTGGTCAACATAGCAACTGATTGGCCTGGCGCTGCCAGCAGTGAGGGGCACGTGGCCAGGCAGGTGCCCGGAATCGGGGCAGGCGAGCAAAGCCCCCCAGGGACTGGGGCACAGAGGGTCTGGGGACCAGGGCTCCGGCCTGAGCTGGCCTCAGGGTTTTCACTGCTGTGACCAAGAGCAGTTCTGGAGGATGGGGAGTGCGCGTGGGGCTCAGGGTCTGCGAGGTCTGAATCCACAGAAGGCCTCTCCATGCTCTGGGCCCAGGGGAGGCCAAAGGCCATGGGGCGGGGCGTGGAGGAGCAAGGCAGCTCAGGACAGGGCCTCAGGAGGAGCCAGAGCTCTGCTCACCAGGGACAGTGTGAACCCCACGGCACCCCCTGTGACCCGCCTCCTCCAGCCACCCCACCTCCAGTCACCCCCCGGCCGGTCCATTCAGGTGGACCCATCTGCTGATGGAGTGAAGGCTCTCAGAACCCAGACACTTCACCTCTGAACCTTGCACTGTGTCACCCAGGAGCTTTGGGGGACACCTCACACRTCATCTAACAGCAGGAGACAAGCAGACCCCTTCCAGGGGCCAACAGCCCGGTGGGGAACGCTGCCCCTGCTGCCCCCTGCCGCTGTGCCCGGGACCCTCCTGCAGACATGGACAGGGGCCTCTCCCTGGCAGGGCCCCTCCGAGACCCAGGTCCCCACCCCTGCCCAGCCGTGCCCAGCCTGCGGCCCCCGCTCTGCACGCAGACCCTCCTCCAGGGTGCTCTCGCCCTAGCGGTGTGCAGAGGCTGGTCCCTGGCTCTCCCGCCACCCAGGAGGGGCACCTGAGCCTCCGGACACCTGCGGCCTCTGAGGCCCTGTGGGCGGGTGATCTGTCCTTGCCGGGTGGCTGGACGGCTTTCCATCCAAGAGCATGAGGGGGGAGGCCGGCCTTGGGCTCCATCTTCATGGGGGCTGCAGGCCGCAGGGACAGCTGGACCCCCGCATCTGGGGAAGGCAGGTTGGTTGGCCGTGGCAGGCTGCGGGTTCTGAGGACAGGCGGGACCTGGCCGAGTCCCCCGTCGGCCTCCTCCTCAGTTCTGGAAGCCATCTTAGCTCCGGCAGAATCGCTCTCACAGTTCAGTGTAGAGGCGCCACGCCTTCCGCTCCTAGAGACTCGGCGCCCGGTTCCAAGGGCGCGGTGGAATCCAGGCCCCGGAACACAGCCATGGCTCAGCGGCTGGTCGCCATTCTTCTGTGTGTGTGACCTGTGAGCTGGCCCTGGGGCCCGCCCCACGGCCACCCCAGGCGTGGTCCGGAGCAGTGGCTCACTCTCTGGGGACTCAGGCTTCCCAGGACACCAGGGTGTGCGTGGGTGACAGCTGCAGGCTGGAGGGAGCTGGGGACCTGGGCACCCTTCTCTCGGCCCCCTGGGGTGGCTCTGCTCAGCCCCCACGCGGCACATCCGGAACTCAGCCCCCCCCCGCGGCCTCCAGCTGAGCCTCCGTCCCCGGTTTCCTCTTCTGTCAAATGAGGGCCACAGCCGCCCGTGTGGCAGGGCAGAGCCCCCCGCCGCCCAGGCTGGCTGCGGGCAGACCTGCTGGTCCCCCCCTTGCCTAGGAGGGGCCGGGGGGGGGGGAGGGGGCTCCCTGCCGTTTCCACTTTTCTTTCCAGGAAAAGGGCTGGTCGCCCCCACACAGCAGGACCACTGTCCTACCCCGGCCTCCACGGCCTGGTGGGTGGGCATCTTCACTTGGTCCATCTCTTGGTGGCGGCCGCTGGGGTGGGGGATCCGGAAGGGGCAGGTGGTCCTGGACCCACAGGAAGCTGTGCACCATGGAGCCCATCCCTCAGCCTCCCACCAGACCCCAGGAGGGCTGGTCACCATGGCAACTGACCCGCCAGCCAGCCCCGGGGCCCTGGACGGAGCCGAGCACACCTGAGGCCCAGGCTGGCGGGACGTGGCAGAACCCCCGCCCGCTGTGTTTGTCTCCCTTGTGTGACCCACAGAGGACAGACTCAGTCCAGGGGAACTGTTCACCCTCCTCCCCAGGGAGCATTCGGAATAAGCCTCTCCTGTTTCTTCCTCCCACTGAAAGTCCTACCGAAGGTCCTGCACCCGCTGCCGAGGACCCCTGGGGCGTTCTGCCGCCCGCTGTCCACCGGGCAGAGTGCTGGCCAGGGTGGGCCAGCCACTCCAGCTCCCGCACCCCACCCACCCTGGAGCAGGTGGGTCTCCTCCTCAGGCATCCTGCAAAAAGAGGGTGAAGGCCTGGCCAAGCTCAGTCCGTCTTGCCGAGGACAGTGCCCACCGTGGGCAACAGGGAGCCTGGAGCTGGCACGGCTTCAGCAGAAGAGAGGTTGGCGGCCCTGTGCCAGGAAGCCTGCTGTGACGGCCCAGGGAGGAGCCCTCTGCTGCGCACCCAGCTCCGTCTCCCCAACGCTGGACCTTCCTTGGCCAGCGGGAAGGAGGTGTGAGTCAGCAGGGCTCCAGCTGGTGGGGGGGCCGGGAGCCCCATTCCAGGGGGTCTGAGCCCCACCCCATTGGAGACTCCAGGACCAGGAAGGCCTTGCAACCAGCCAGCAGGGGTCACTAGAGCAGGTGTGTGTCCACTACCTGAAAGAAAGCAAAGGCTCCCGTGCGGGAGAGAAACCAGGAATCGTCCCTTGCAGACACCTCCGACCCAGGGAGCACACTGGGGTGTGGGGTCCCTGTGGGGCACCCTCCTCCTTGCCACACCTTCGCCAACAACCTGGGAGTCCTACGTCTGTGGTCCTGCCTGGCGAGTCCRGCCAGCCTCTGTGCCTCCCGGGGTGAAGGCCAGGTGCCCTTGGGCTCCGGACGAGCAGGCTCTTGCCCCGTGTGCTTGGATGTCTTGGGAGGTGGCCGCTCAGCCACTGCCGTCAACCAGAGTTCCAGAGCAGGACAGGGACGACAGCCCCAGCAGCTCAGGTCCCGGGGATCCTGCGAGGCTGAAACCCAGGGGCTGGCAGCCCCCACCAGGGCCAGCCCGTGGGGCCACCTAGATGGCTGTCCCGCAGGGATCGGGGGCAGGTGCGGAAGGCCCGGGTCCTTCTGTGACCTCATCAGGCCGCAGCATGGCCAGGCCTCAGGGTGTTTGTACCCACTGGCCACCTCTCCCTGCAGCTGATCTGGAGGCGGAATGGAGGGGCATGAACACTTGCTAAATTTGTCTTCAGTATGGGCAGGCTGTGTGCTTGCAGCACAGTGGTGACCAGAGGGAGAGTGAGGCCCCTCCCCAACACAGGGGACTCCAGTTTCTGTTTCCTGTTCTGCTGCTGTCATCTTTATGTACCACCTCATGGCCCTAAGTGGCTGCACAAGCTCCAGCCAGGAGGCTCTGTTCCAGGTGGCAGGAAGGGAGAAGCAGAAGTTGCAGAACTTGGTTACATGGCCACAACCACACCAGGCCACATGAAGAAATACAATGTGCCAAGTAAGATGAGGCTCGGTTATTGGAGAAGAAGGGAAGGAAGGCCCTTGGCCGAATAGATGTCCAGCCATGGACTTATACCTCCTGGGCACTGCTAGATGCACAGAAGAATGTGGCAGTGTCCAGCCGCCTCTGCAAGATGAGCCCCAGGAGAATCTGTAACTGAGGCTGCCTGACCGTGGCCCGCACCGTGCCCTGCGGTACGGGCCACAGGACTGTAAGGCCAGCTGTGGGCTGCGGGTTCAGCAGTCAGAGCCCGGGCTGCTGGTGAGCAGGCTGCTTGCTCTGTCAGAGCCGGGCGTGTGGGAGGCGGCTGTGTGTGATCATCCAGGGCACGGCTCCAGGAACACAGGCGCTAGGGGCCTGACAGGGAGCTCACGCAGCGCCTGAGGCCAGCCTGGCCTTGGCCAGGTGGGGCTGGTGCCAGGTGGGTGCAGTGGGCCTCGGTGGGGACGTGCTGCTCCCCGGCCCCACCTGCCACATGTGCCCTGGAGGACGAGTGACCCTCCAGCTCTTCTCCACAGCCCTGGATGCACTCACTCCGGGCCGTGGGGTTTCTGTTCTCTGTGGCCAGGAGTTTGGGCGCCCGGGGAGGAGACGGGGAAGGGCACCAGCCCCGGGAGAGGAGCTCTGCCCCAGTGAGGCCCGGGTGAAGGCAGAGCAGGGCCGCGTGCGGGCGTTTCACAGCACGGCGGTGGTTTCGGCGTGTTCCTGGGGCCCGGTGCCAACAACCGGGGCGGGAGCAGCAGGGCCCCGGCTCACCCTCCATCTCTGGACTGCAAGAACATGGCCACATACGTTTGCAGGGCTCTCCCTGCCTGGGGTGTGACGCAGTGGCTGTGCCGTGGAGCTAGGCACCACTGTGCGTGAAGTGGGGACCCGCCTGCTGGTCCAGGCCCCTGGGTTCCCCAGTGGCACGTGCAACCCTGCCCCCACAGCCTTGTCCACTGCCCGGACCTTCAAGCCCCTACCTGCAGAGATACACCCCTGGGGTTTGCCCGGCACCCACTGGCCCTCAGGTGGACCGGGCTGCTCTGGATGCCCACCCTGGCCCACACCTGGCCCGGCTGGGACTCAGCAATTAAGAAAACTCAGCCACTATGGGCATCACTGGCCCTGGCCCGGCTGGACTCAGCAATTAAGAAAACGAACCTGGCAAAAACTTGATTTCCACTCATATAAATAAGGAAATGAAGAGAGAAGCATTTTCTCTTTCCAGGGGACTCATGTCAGTAATATGTCATTGCAAAATGCAGTCTTTCACTATTCTGTTGATATGAACTATCTCAGCTGCTCAATTGTCTTTAACTTTGCAATAGACGCCTTTCATTTTGTTGGGGAGGAGAGACGATTTCCTAGACGTGAACTGTTGCCAGATATTCCAAACCCTGTTCTGGATAAATTACAGCACCCAGATTTTAGCAACAAAGCACGCTGATTTTATATTCAGCAGGGTTTTTATATTTAGTCCCTTAACCTTTCGTAATTCCCACCCACGGCTGGAAGCACAGAGCCCTTTTGTTTTGTGTTCCTTGTTCTTGGTGGGGCGTCCGCCTCAGCCCCCGTAA